TTTTGATTTTTGATTGAAAATGTTGTTTCCTAATTAATCCCGAAAGACGAAACAAATATTGTAATTAAGGAAGGGTGTAACTTTTTGTAAATAACTTAAAAACAAATTATTCTGTCTATTTACTTCGTCTTTGAAAGACGAAAAAATCTTGTAGAAGGATAAAGGAAAGTTACATTTATTTATTTGTGTAATTTTAATTTATTTTTATTTTATTTTTAGCCGTTTACGTGGTCCGCCACAATTTCGCTAAAAAAAGAAGAGTATATAGCTTGATGAAAAAAGACCATAAACTTGACAAAAACAAAATTTTATCGTCAAACAAAAATGTTTGTTTAAGAAGATGAAAGAACAAAGTATTTGGTAAATCTTCATTTTTAACATCCGAGCACTAATAATATCCCTTCAAATTTTTCAAAAATAATCTTATTTCCGGGCAAATGTATATGCTGAACTCAAATCAACAATTAATTATTGAAGAAACCTACCTTTTTGGATGTTAACGACCCGAAAAAAATCAGACTTTTTCCTGGTCTTTCGTCAGCCATTACTAGCTTATTGATAAGTAATTCAGTGCTGAATTTTGTTGGTGGACGTATACAATTTTGGGGGCTATTTACTGCCTTCACACTAATTCCTTGTAGAAATTAGTACGCGCTTCCCTAAAGCGATTTTTCTTTTTTTTGTACTTAATTTAAGAAGAAAGTTGACTTTCAAATATATGTAAACATCGACAAAAAAGGATAACAAAGTAATTTTTTTTAAGAAGAAAGTTAACTTTCAAATTAGGGTTAGGTGTTTTTTTTTCTTTTGTTATTCATTTATTGGAAGTGCGTACTAATTTCTGAAAGAAAATAGTTCAGCAGTGAATGACGCTCGGGTGTTAAAATGAAAATTTACCATGTATTTCTTAATTATTTTTAAAAATTTTGCTGTGTTTTTAGAACATTCTAACTTTTGATTAAAAAAAAAACAAAAAAACATTGTTTTAATGGTACATTAATTTGGAAAATCTTGCAAAAAAAATAATTGTCGGATTTTAATGAAACTTTCAGAAACTATTCAGAACTGATGGAAATTATTATAAATTTTTTTCTTTTTTTTTTTTTTTTTTAAAAAATATATTTTTTTATATTTATTACACCCATAACTAACTTTATGAAAATTCTAGAAATTTAATACTGAACAATTTAGTAACTCCACGAAATCGCTAAAAAAAGATCATAGCATGATGAAAAAGACGCCAAACTTGATGAAAACAAAATTTTATCGTCTAAATGCTTATGTTATTATTAAGAGGAAAGACCAAATTTTTTTTTTAACTATTTTAAAAATTTTTTCTTTCTTTTTAGAACATTCTAAATTTTTTTTAAAAAAACCTTGTTTCTATTTGTATCACCGGAACTAGTAAAATAACATAGACAATTTTTAGCACTTTTTTTTTTCTTTTTTTTGTATGACACACATTAATTTGGAAAATCTTGCAAAAATAAAAATAATTATCAAGTGTTAATGAAACTTTCAGAAACTATTCACAGATGATCGAAATTATTATAAGTTTTTTTTTTTTTTATTAAAGTCATGGCAGAAATTTTTTTGATATTTATTACCCCCTACCCATAACTAATTTTATGAAAACACTAGAAATTCGATCGCATCGGGTTTAGTGATTACAATAATTAAAAGCACAGGGCTTTGAGGAATGCAAATCATGTTTGTTTTTTTTTGTTTTTAATTGGACCCCCTACCTGAAAATCAGCTCTGAATTGTAACATACAAAACTCAATAAAACAAAGATTATTATTTAATTTCAAATGCTTTTATTTGCTTTTAGTTGTTTTTATGAATATGGACAATTTTTTCTGAAAGCAAAAAATTTTTTCGATGAAAAATGAGTTTTTAATACAATTTGTTATTTCTTTAATTATAATAGATTTTTACATTTAAGTTGTTAAAATATTATAAAATTAATTAAAAGCCACATCGGGTTTCCTAAGTGTCCTCATGAGATCTTTTTTTAGCACGTTCTATCATTTTGACTAATCAGAAGACCCGCAGTAATTAAGAAATCTAATTTTGTGTTTATAATCGGCCTGTAATTATAAAGTATGGAAGACCAACCAGAATACAATTAAGTTGTGTTATTTGAGTTAAGCATTGTTATCCGCTGTTAAGGCCTTTACTTTTATGAAACACGGGTGGAGAAGTTTATTTGATTTTTCAATTTCAACTGAGAAGGGTACCTACAAGTATCAGTATCATCTTATGAAATTTATATGATCTTATTTTTATATTAATCTCAGTTATGACATTTTTCCATAAATGAAATATCAAAATTAATAATAAAATGAATGGAAATACAAATAACATAGTAAAATGTAATAAATGTACATAAAATTATAGTATTTTATGTACACTTCTGATAAAATTTCATAAGAAAGGTATCTAATTAATTTATAGGTACATTTCTTATGAAATATAAAATTTAATCTCACTCTTAAGTCTTATTTTAATTTCTTTATAATATATTTTCCATAAAGCATCATAAACGTAAAGGAGAAAGCTAAGTACAAAAAAAAAAAAAAATTAGAATGCTGAAAGTTTTCCTTAAAAATAATGAGGTAAATAATTTGTTCACTTAAATCTAAATAACTTCACTTTTCGGCTTCTGTAGAACAAATTATGATCCCGTAAATCCGTCAATACGTCATTCATCACCTGTTAAGTGACGCAAAAGGTTATGACCTGCTTTGTTTTATTTTCAAATTACATCTTTTCAGCGCAGAATCTAAGTCAACCTTGGTTCAAAATATTTTAAATAAACATTATAATTTCTGATTTTCTTAAAATAAGTTTTGAAAAAATGATAATTAATTTTTACTTGAATTTCAAAATGAGATTTTCATCTTTTTTATAAAATGGAAAAAAATGGATGCCATAATCGATTATCTGTCAATTATGCTGACTCAAAAAAAAAAGATTTTTAATGAAAATTTCGGACGTGATCAGAACGATTAAAAAATGTAAAAACCATACCCCCAAAATACTTTGATCTTTTCTCTTAATGATAACATGAATATTTAGATGATAAAATTTTGTTTTTGTCAAGTTTGGCATCTTTTTCATCATGCTATGCTCTTTTTTAGTGATCTCGTGGAGATACCCAGGTTAGTTGCATTTAGGTTTCAGCCTTTAGTTGTCAACCATAATCAGAATTTCCTTGACCCAAATAATGTGGACCTGTACTAATAGTAGAAGCATATTGGGCAAGAATCAAGAAACGCCAAAAGAGAATTGATGGTTCAAAAGGTGATATGAAATGGTCACACCTGGATGAGGCAATTTATAGAGATTTTTTTTTTTTTAAGTTCAAGGCTAATAATGTTTGGAAGAATATAGACAATTTTTTGAACATATATCATTGCAATACATATTTTAAATATATTACTATACTTGGTTTTAAATTAATACTATCACATGAATGCACTTGAATTAAATTTTTAGGTAGGGTGCATCTAACAACATTCCACCAATTTTGCTTAGCATGTATGAGTGTTAAAATTCTTACAGTAGTAGTAGTATTTGTAGTTGTTTACGAAGATGAATAGAAATGATTTCTTTTTTGTATGTGTGTGAAAGAAGATGTGAGAAGAAAAGTGTAAGTATCCCATATCTTGGTGAGGAAGAAGAATGGAATGAGTAGGGAATTTTTTTAAGCCCTTGTCGTGACTTGTTGCTGTTGTCTCTCTGTGGTGAACAGCCCCGTAGAAGCAAGTGAGCCAAAGTGGCTTGCATCTGGTGTATAGGAAAATAAGGGTCTTGCCTTAACGTGCGGCACGTGACATCAGCAAGTTTGCATCGTGAAACTGGCATTACTCTCCCGTCCAGCCATTCTAGCAGTATGTGCAAGGATGATGGTTTTTTGTACAGTTCGGAATGCTTCCACGAATAGCAAGCCGTGTGCTGAATGGTCGAACTGGAGGAGGCAATTTGCCTGTGTAACCGAGAATAACAGCGAAGAACACTGATTGGCTGGGGAACTGTGGTGTTGGCCTGATAAAAGAGTGCTGGAGCCGGGGAAAAGAGGAGAAATGTTGGCTATACGTAGTGACGTGTGAAGAAAGCGAGGACGGTGAATTGAACCAGCGATATTGTGATTTGTACAAGTGACAGTTGGGAGAGCAATAGACTTATTTAAGCTACACTCTCCTTACTAATTTGTCTGTCTAGAAACTTTGCTTAAATACCCTTCAAAGGGATCACAAAGCATGTTTTTATTGTTGTGGGGAACGCAACCAGTTGGTTGAAAAATGTTAAATATTTATTTTCAAAGCATTAATTTATTAACCAATAGTATGTGCAATCCTACAACTGGGAAACCATTTTTTGTCATTGGGTGTTTTACTGTCTTAATGTTTATTTCCATTTTCACTCCACAATGGTTCTGGGAAATGCAACTTGAATAAAACGGCTGACTAAAAATTAAATAAACACTTGTACAGTGGTGATAATTTAAGTAGTAGTGAAGGATGAATTCAAACAAAATCAGAATAGGGTTAGTTTTATGTTTTTCTTTCCACTTGTGCTGTTAGTCATCGCAGGGAGACAGTCATTTTTCATCAACAAGGCGAGTGGTCTGGAGGAGAGATCTCACTCATGGGCTCTGAGAGTGTCTGCCACTGAGTCACTCCAGCATCTTCTTGATCTGCCTCTCACTCTCCAGCCAGAGTATCTGACGGTGTATGCTCATAGGGCTGATTGGTTGGCAAAAAAAAAAAAGTTGCAATTCAAAAAATGTTTTGGCTTTAAATAACCCACAAAGGGTTGATAAGCTGTAAAAACAAAAAAAAAAACAAAAAACAATTGATCAATCAATGTAGGCAAAAAAAAAGCTTATTCTGAACTCCTGGTTTATTCCTCTTTCAATTTTTGTGTACTCATTGAACTTGTTGATGATTTTTATTCAGATTTTTAAAATAATGGAAGGAAAACTGCAGAGCAAGATGAAAGTTGCTGTGCGCGTTCGTCCAGCCCTTAATCGTGATGACCATATCTGTGTCAGCACCGATAAAGCTTCTATTACCATTTTCAACCAGAAAAACATCAATGAAAATATCACGTATAAGTAAGTTCATACTTTTCTAATTACTTGGTATTTTATTTTATTTTATTTTTATTTCTTATTCATATTGTAATGATGTACGAAAACACCAAAGAAGAAACAGACAAGTTTTACAATATGGTACAAAATGCCAAATACCAGTGTAAACTGCAAGAAGTGTTCATAGGGAATATAAATGCAAAAATAGGAAGAGAACAAGTGTAATAAATCTGATTTCTCATACATCTTTAGAAGTCCACTCAGCTATCTGAGTTTCATAGGAATTTCGTCTCCAGTCCATCCTTGAGGCAACTGAATTGCCATGTTTTCAGGATCCATGTCTCCATTCTGCCTTTTAATTGGCAAACATAAAATTTTATTAATGATTTTAGATAGTCATAAAAGTAGTCTTTTGAAGATTTGACCACCCATATGGTTTTGGAGTAGTCTCAACATTTCCAGATGAGGAGATGGGACCCCAGTGATAAGCAGGGAAAGGCAGGAAGTTGAAGAGAAACTGGTCTAGCTGTGCAAGAAGTAAGTAGTTGACCAGTGAGTTAGTAGCTGCACAGTGGCCAGGAGTGAGGAATCAGCAGGTACCAAAGCGACAGGGGGTGAATGTAAGGGTCCTTTTCCATGCCTGGAAGTTAGATAGCAACCCACCTCTCAAAGCTGAAGGTTCCCGTGGTTAAGTGAGAAATCATATTGCTGCTACTTCCTAACCAGAGTCTTGAAAAACAATTGTTTTTATTTTTTTTGTTGAAAGTGATCACAGCAGAGAAGACAAACCTGTGCACATAGTGAGTTGGCTGTATATGCAACTACAATCGACCGTGGATGAAATGCAGTGAATGACGGACAATTGGAGAATGTCATCACAAAACTTGTCACAAATTCCGCCATGAATGGCGTCATACAAGAGTATGAAATGGTCAGTTGGAATGGACTTGGATCACATGATGACCACAGAGAAAAAGCAAATTATCATTATACAATGAATGACCAGCACCAGGTTTGGTGACATAGTAATTGTGAGTTCAGTCCCTGGTTCAGACTGTGTGTACTTGGGCTTGGTTGAAACCAGGCAACCAGTAACTGAGCAGTAATAAAAATAAGAATTAAACAAGATATCCCTAGACGTGGGTAGTGGTATGGTACAAAATGACAAATACCAGTGTAAACCACAAGAAATTTTCATGGGGTAACCTAAATACCAAAATAGAAAGAGAACAAAAATGTGAAATGGTTAACCTTTAGCACTCTGGAGGTGACTATTTTTGCCAAGCAAATGTAGTCCTGCCAATGCAAGTTAAATTTGAATTACTTGGTTGTGTAGTTATATCCTTCTATGGCAACACCTAAAACAATCTTGACTGAAATTGAGAACCAGGCTACTGCAATTTCAAATATATAGAACTAATATGTAAAAGACTATATTTTGAGGGGATTCCATATACAGTAAAAGGGGGAAGTAATATTTATAAATGATGCAGAGGGCTAAATGTTAATGAACTTGGATCACATGATGACCAGAGAAAATGGGATTCATCATTATACAGTGAATAACCAATAACCAACACTGGATTTGATTGACATCCAAGATGATTGTGAACATAGAAAAACCTAGGAGGCATAAGATGACAAACTAGTTAACCATCAACAAATGATTTAGAAATATAGTACTACATTCTACAATATATCCAAAGTTCTACATCTTGTGAGACAGTAGCCTAGCGGATTAAAGTCTTGGTTTGTAAATGTAGTAATTATGAGTTCAATCTCTGGGTCGGTCAGTGTGGAAACAGGGCAATTAATAACTGAGCACTACTAAAAATAAGAACTCTATGAGATATTCCTTGACGTGGACAGTAGAATGAGAGCAATCCACCTCTGTGGATTAAATAAAGGGTTCAGTTTGAAATTCCCAGTAGGTTACCCAGATCAAAATATATATATATATATATATATATATATATATATATCAGATGAAGGCCAAAAGGCACAATGTCTTAAATGTTGTAATGACAACCACAACAAAGATGGCTACAATAGTCTGCTTTTAAATAAACAAATTCATGCTAAGCAAGGAGAAACAAGAAAAAAGTGAATGAAAATTGAAATTCTTAATCTAATGAAAGAAAGAAAGGCAGAAAATAATGCCAAGAAATGGCGCTGGATATATTAAACAAAACTATCAGAAATTAGCACAAGCAAGCAAAAAATGAATGACTTAACTAAAGGGTGTTCCAATAACTTGAACCAATTTTAAATGTGAATTAAGTTTAAGCGTCTAATGATTTTTTTCTTTTAGATTTAACAACTTAAGTCTTTGGCAGTTTCAACCATGGAAAGATTAACAATCAAAAAACATGTTAAAGTTTCAAGAGTGCAATTGAAAAAATTGTTCATAAATTCAAACAAACTTGGTCAGTGGCAGATGTGAAAACACCATTGTGTGCATGTTTATGCTGTTCAGCTGAAAACATTGCTGCAGTTCACGAGAATTTGACCAAAAATCCAGACACCTCTATTCGTCATCATGAGCAGGAATTGAACCTCTCCACAACAATGTTACATCGAATTTTGACAAAAGATTTGTCTCTACACGCTTCCAAAATTCAACAGACACAAGAACTGAAACCTGCTGGCCATTTGGAGCGCCATACATTTGTCAATAGGGTGCTTGAGCAAAGACGAGCCGATGAAGATTTTTCACAAAAAATCCTCTTTAGTGATGAAGCCCATTTTCATCTTGGTGGATTTGTTAATAAGCAGAATGGTTGCATTTGGGCTGATGAAAATCCAAGGAAGATTCTTGAAAAGCCACTGCATCCACACACAGTTTGGATGAAGAAGATGCGATAAGAAAAAGAGGTAGGATGAAAAAGATGTGATATGTTACAGTTTGCAATGCATTTTTTGCTAGCAGAATCATTGGGCTGTATATTTATAGATTTGAACGTCCATTTTCATAATAGGCTTCGATAACTTTAACACGTTCTTTCATTGTTAATCTTTCCATGGTTGAAATTGCCAAAGACTTAAGTTGTTAAATCTGAAGGAAAAAGAAAAAAAATCATTAGACGCTTAAACTTAATTCATATTTAAAATTGATCCGAGTTATTGGAACACCCTTTAGAACTGTAGAGAGATTGAAAAACTGCAGAGCATAGATGTAGTAGGTATGCATGAAAAGATAAAACAAATAGCAGGACAGGAAGATGCATCAAAACTAAAAGGGGGGACAATCATAATGAAAAAATAGAAAAGATATTACAAATATAGAACAAATACAGTACCTAGATTGGTGAGCACTTTGGAATACCAGGTGCTGTAAGCTTGGATACAGTGTGCATGTAGTGTAATGGATAATGGCTCAGAATGAGAAGTCAGAGCACTGTTCGAAATACAGTTATTCTCTCTCTTTTTCATATCACATCTCCTTCATCCTACCTCTTTTTCATATCACATCTCCTTCATCCTACCTCTTTTTCATATCACATCTCCTTCATCCTACCTCTTTTTCATATCACATCTCCTTCATCCTACCTCTTTTTCATATCACATCTCCTTCATCCTACCTCTTTTTCATATCACATCTCCTTCATCCTACCTCTTTTTCTTATCGCATCTTCTTCATCCAAACTTTTTTTTATTATTGCATCTCCTTCATCCATCCTCTTTTTCATATGGCATCTTCATCCACCCTCTTTTTCATATGGCATCTTCTTCATCCACCCTCTTTTTCATATCGCATCTTCTTCATCCACTCACTTTTTCATATCGCATCTTCTTCATCCTAACTCTTTTTCATATCACATCTTCTTCATCCTAACTCTTTTTCATATCACATCTTCTTCATCCTAACTCTTTTTCATATCACATCTTCTTCATCCTAACTCTTTTTCATATCACATCTTCTTCATCCTAACTCTTTTTCATATCACATCTTTTTCTTATTGCATCTTCTTCATCCAAACTTTTTTTTATTATTGCATCTTCTTCATCCACCCTCTTTTTCTTAACGCATCTTCTTCATCCTCTGTCTTTTCCATATCACATTTTTATTGTAAGGCAGTTTTTTTAAGCAAGTTTTTTCTTGTTTTTAGTAATAAAATTTTTTAAAACACTAATATTTTTTCTCTTCCAGATCTCCTACTATATTTGACATAAATTCTAACCAGAAAGACGTTTATGCTGATTTAGTTCAGCCTGAGGTTAATCATATTTTGGAAGGTAAAAATGTCTCCATTTTTGCTTATGGAGCAAGTGGAAGTGGTAAGTTATTAGAAAATAATCCTTATTTTCTGTTTGTCAAAAAAAAAATTTTTTTTTTTTTTTTGTAGTATAGCAAAGACATGTTACTACTTGTTATAGCTGAGGTAGGAAACTTTTAAGATAAATGAACTCAACACATGAAGGATTTTTATCTATTTTTATATATAATACAATATGATTAAAGAAGAGAATGCATACAGAGATAAAACTAAGCAAAAAAGGAAAGTAAAACACATGATTAATGGTTGTGTCTGTACGTGACGCATTTGGTGAAATTAAATAGTAAGTTTGCTCAGGGACTAAGAAGGGGAATAATCGTGTGTTGTCATAAATACATTCGAGAGCCAAAAAAAAAAAAAGAGAGGAAGAGGGTCTATATCCTTTACTTTCATATGATGGATTGCCACATCACTTAGTGATATTAAGCAGTGTTCATTGGCAGACAAAGTGGGGTGCTCCTACAGTAGCATGTCAATTCATTTTAAGATATTAGTTTTGTTTTTATTCATTAGAACCTGTAAACATATATAAGAATCAAATCATTTTAGGAGACTTTTGCTCTTGTAAAGTACAGTAATAGTTGCAGTTATATTTTTGTTTCGGTAATCAAAAAATTTACTTTCAGAAAATTAGGTCTCGGTATTTGGTCATCATAAATAATTATTACAAAACTAGGCTTTTCATTGAAGAAATTATAAATCTAGGATTTTTATTTAAACAGTTACAAAACTACAAAGTACACTTTTAATTTAAACAATTATAGTGTAGGCTTTTCTTTTAAATAACTACAAAATTAGACTGTTGAAATTAGACTGTTGAAATTAGGCTTTTCATTTAAATAATTACAAAACTAGGCAGTCAAATCATGGGGTTTTCATTTAAAGAAAAGGTTTAAGAAAAGTCAAAAATGTCCATCAAACTAACGTGTTTTACTTTTATTAAATCTTCTTCAAAGATTGAGAAAAAATGGACCAAAATACAGGACAGTTTGTAAAAATTTTAATATGTCTAAGTGGGCACCAGATGACAATGTGTTTGTTTTACGGCATATCAAGCTCAATGAGTTATTTAATGCCAACAAGATTTTTATTGCTGCTAATATTTTTGTTCAAAAATGTATTGCTGGTAATTTTTTTTTTTTTTTTTTTTTTTTTTAATGCATTGCTGGTAATAATTTTTACAAAAATTCATTGTTGGTATTAAAACCGATTTTTTTACACCCCCACCTTGACCACAATTGGGGTTAACTATTTGCTCATAGCTGGTACCCTAATAGGTGCTATCAGCATGAGTCAGGGTGGACCTGGGAACACCAGCAGTTAAAAGTTGGTTTCACACTCCTTAAAACCTGATCAGATGCCTTGTTGTTGGATGTAGTTTACCCAGGATGTTGATGTAGTTTGTCATCTTACCCAGGATGCCTCGGGGGGAGTGTTCTTACCCCTCTGCAGAGGGGTAAGGTCCTCCTCGACATATTCTGAAGACCCAGCCTAGAGGGCGGTCAGTGTTTGGTTATCATATACTCTTGTTTACCAAATACAAATGCCATCACAATTATTTCCTTCAATCTTCTCCCCCACCCTGGTTAAACAGGTTTAAGTGGGAAGACTAAATTAGAGAAGACACTGTAATACCACTTCTGACATTTGAAATGTTGTGCGAACAAGGATGCGCAAATATGTCTTTAGGATTATGAATTCAATTTCTGCATAGATTGGAACTTCTGCCTCAAATCAGTTATGTATCTTCACACTTTGTGTAAATTCTTAGCAAATTATACAGTTTGTATCATGTGGAAGAACTCTGTCATATCGGATATGTCACTTAACTAGTTAGGACCAGGTCAATCATTTCAAGGATGACAGGATTACTTACAAAATCTTCAGAAACAATTGCCTCAGAGCCGTGACTGGGGGAAAATAACAGATAGAATCAGAATGACTATAAGAGAAATAGCTAAATATGATGACTGACATGTTTGATATCAGCATCCCTGTTTTTTGTAGAGCTATCTCCAGGCTGTGTTCCTTTGATGACCATAAAATAATGTTTCATCTCTCCTACCCATATCCTAAACCCCCTATTTTCTTCTGTCTTGAGTCTGCATCTCACTGAGATATTTGCGTCTTCAGTGAGTCATTTTTTACCTCTGTTGCAAAGTACTGAACAAATTCGGCAAAATGTTCCATTAATGGGAACCAACCTTTACAGATCATCCGTTGAAGTGGTTTCAGGTTCATAAACGTATTTATGTGGAAATATACACACCATGGCACCATAAAGATTTTGTTGTGTTCTGTGTCGCCGCCAATGGCACTTTCTTTTATTTATTCATTTCATTATATGAGAGGGACAGATATAACATCAATTCTAGGATGTAGCAAGAGGATGAATTTCAAGGGAACACATGCCCACTTGTTGGTTTAGCATTCTTGCACATGTAGGCTAGCCTCTCTAAGAAATCTAGGTGTGGAAACATGTTTATGTTTCAATATTCTTGTGGACCTCTGTCAACTTCATGCCACTTTGTTTTTATATCTCAAACTTAGGCAAAGTCAATCCATCACTGTCGGAATTTCATGCCCACAAGGTATTCTGCTCATTCGCTTACTGTCCTGGCCCAGCCTTTGCATTCTGTCACATCTAATTACCCTGATCAAAAGAAGACTAAACTGGTTTGGCCATGGAATCAGAAGAGAACAAAGCTTTGTGCATATATCCGACAAAGACAACTTCAGTATCTGTCTATATCTCTGAGGTATTATATCAGGTCATCCCATAAGTTCTGTCCAAATTTTGAATAAAGAAAACAAGTGACCAAATGTTGTATTGAAATACAGATTCAATCAACAATGTATTTTCCCTGATTATCTATAACTTCCATCCATCTATTAACAAGCTTACTAATTCCATTACTGTAAAATTCTTTTGGCTTTGATTCGAAGAACTCACAAATGTCAGTTTTAACATCTTCCTGTGTTACAAAAGCTGTTTCTTCCAAATGATTCTCTAAGCTATGAAACAAATGGTAGTCTGAAGGAGCAAGATTGGGAGAATAAGGTGGATGAGGAATTTTCTCCCAACCAAGTTCTTCGATCTTTTGTGACGGGATTCTTGCTATGTGTGGTCGCACATTGTCCCGATGAAACCTCACCTCTTTTCGATTGACTAGAGCAGGTCTTTTTTCCCTCAAAGCTTGGTTCAAACGCTTTAATTGCTGACAGTATATTTGAGCATTAATTGTTGCATTCGGTGGTAAGAATTCAAAGTGGATTATTCCTTGGCGATCCCACCAGATTGAAAGAAGAACCTTTTGCCCATGAAGTTCCCTTCTCGGCTGTGGCTGGGGTCCTTCCCCTTTACCAAGCCACTGTCTACGATGCTTAACATTTCGATAAAAGATCCATTTTTCGTCACAAGTCTATCCAAAAAAAGCTGAAACAAGTTGGTGAGAATGGAGAGAAGAGCAGATGTCAACTCAGGATTTGAAGTTGTTTTCAGACAATTCATGCAGCACCCATTTTCCAAGTTTAGGAACTTTTCCAAGTTGTTGAAGATGACGATGAGCAGTTGTATGGTTTAAACTGAGAACCACTGCCAATTCCTCAACTGATAAAGCAGGATTTTCTTCAAGGGCTGCTTCAAGAAGCTTTTCATCAAACTCAATTGGACGTCCGGTTCGATCTTCATCTTCAAGGGTGAAATCTCCACCTCTGAATTTTGAAAACCATTTTCTGCAAGTTCTTTCATTCACACATTCCTCTCCATAAACTGAGTGAATGTTTCTAGCCGCTTTGGCTGCTGAGTTTCCTTTCTTGAACTCATAAAGCATTATGTGCCTCAAATGATTCTTGGGTACTTCCATGTTAGCAGGGTTTTAATCAAACAAAATTTAATTTGATCATTTTAAATGCATCTAAACATAAAAATAATGTTCAGCTCCATTAGACATTATAAAATACTCTTTAAATTTCGTTCATTTTAACAAAAAGTTAAAATTCGGACAGAACTTATGGGATGACCTGATAATTACTTACATTATTTGGACCGTTATCCTCATCTCCATTGCCATATTCACAATGTCTGCAATGATACATGGCCTAGTGGATGAAGGCATTGGTTAGATCCAGTAACTAGACCCAAAGATTTGTGAGTTCAATACCAGGCCACAGCAGTGGTGCACCAAAACTTGGAGAGTTGAGTTACAGGGAAATAACTGAGACATCCAGAAGAGGCATGACACGTGGAACTAGAACCATCTACTTCAGTTGATGAAATAAAGGGTTTGGTTTGAAATTCCAGTCACCTGAAAGAAGCTGGAGCATACAACGGCCAAAATGTGAATTTGGCAATGAAGTGCCATAAAAAGATTAGCAGATCTAAAGACTAGAAAAAAATGCTTTAGGTAGGATAATGAATGTTTTGTTTAGTTTGTATTAAATTGTATATTGTAATAAACTTGTTATTGTACATTTTCAATTATTCTCCTTGTGAAAATTTCTAAAAATTATTCTTGTACTTCCCACATTAGCATTTATTGAACAATTAGGGAGGTTGTCTTGAATGCAACTCAAAGCTTTGAAAAAGCAGACAATCCTTTCTGTGTTGTATGCTCAAAAAACAAATTTTCACACCCAGGAAAATGATTAACAATCTTTTCCTCCTAAAAATCAATAATAAAAATTGGAAAATATATTTATTAGCCAATAAAACTTCTGAATTTAATAAATCTGTCTTTTAACTTCCTGTAATCCGGTTTTTCCTATAAATAGCATAACTTAATAAACTAGCCTTAAATATACCTTTGGCTAGGGATTATAAACAATGCTGAATTCATGAATTAATTTACTGAGTGCTAACGTTTCTTTTGTATATTATTTCTCACTTTTAACCTTTATCTAACTGGAGGTGAAAATTATCTCCCTTTGCAGGTCTAACTGCATTCTGTCATTTCAAGAGGGTTGCTATAAATTAACACTTGTCAACTATTATTTCCAGTATTTTAAGCTGGAAATAGCCTGCTACCACTTTGAAGCGAGGTTAAACTTTCAACGCCATTTTGAATTCTTCTACAATCTATACAAGATGTAACATTGATTAAACCCATGTTAATTTTGTCACGATTTTTTTGTAAACAAAAATAGCTGCATCGACATCCGATGAAGTCTTTATTCAGGAGTTTTTCTTTGATTCAGACTCCAGTGATGAAAGCTTTACTCAGGCAGGTATTGATGGGGTAGTAGTTAGAGACAGATGATAACATACTAGTGACAGAGAGGAGAACTATGATGATCACAAGGTGCCGGGTGACTACTATCGTCCATGGCTGACTAATTTTATAGAAGCTACTGGTCTCATGAATGTACCTGATAGCTTTTCTAAAGGTGAACTATTTCATCTAATTATAAACAACACAATAATAACTTTATTTGTTAACTAGACAAATAAATATGCTAGTCAGGTGAAAGAAAGAGCAAACAAATGCTGCCATCTTTGTTTTCAAATGAACTTTATGAGTAACTTTATAGTTCGTTTCTTTCAGTCTAAAAGAAAGCAAAAATTATTTTTCTACTCAATAATAAAAATTATTTGAATTTGTAGAGCTGTTTCAAGATTATTTCTTTGCATTGCTTTTCACACGTATTTTTGTGAAAAACCTGTTCTTGTTTATATAGCTTGCATATAATATAACCCTAACTTCTAGAGCAATACTAGTCAGCCTGCCGTAGTCAAATACTGCAATACTGGTCAGCCTGCCATCGTCAAATACTGCAATACTAGTCAGCCTGCCATAGTCAAATACTGCAATACTAGTCAGCCTGCCATTGTCAAATACTGCAATACTGGGCATCATCCTGGAAATATTTTATAGCAAATAGTCTTCATTCTTTTTTGTACAAAGCTTTTATGATGTCACTTTTGCTATATCAAGTTAAAGCTTGTTATCACTTTCAAAAATTCTTGTTATATTCGAGAATATGTAGACACTGATACTAGTAGGAACGCCTTCCAATAATGTCCGCACTAGTAATACTTCTTCAAATAGTAATCATCAAATCATAAAATGATCAGAAGAGAATCGTAATCTGTATAGTAGTAGAGTAGAGAGAGTGAACTTATAGCAATAGTGGATAGAAAAGAAGTGAACAGTGATCGTTACGCTACTTCTTATTTATTCATTTCCTTTATGCTCATGTGGTGTACTTAATAATAGAATCACCCATGTTGCTCACTGGCAATCTAATTTCAAACCATAGTGTTGGCAATGACACTTAACACTTATACAACAAAAGCTAACATTAAAGGTCCCATGAAAATGTTGGCCTACCAGTTAGGTCACAGTTACCAAAAATGCATGAATTTTAACAGTCCCAGAAAAAATTTACCCATGTATAGTGCAAATGGTCACCAAAATGCATGTTTTTTTAATCCCTTCAAAAACAAAATTACCTGTGTATAGTGTGAACCCTTATTTTTTTTTGTGTAAAAAAACTGATCATTAAAACTCACACTATTATATATATGGTAATTAATGATAATTAAGTATGGCATCTCAGCTTTACAGATGAAAGGAATTTTTTCGTTTTCTTTTTTTTTTTCAAAATTGCATCTTATGTGCTATTAATTACAGGAAATTCTGTACATGTTATGAAAACACTTTTCTCCATTATAGAAAACAGGTTAATAAATTATATTCCTGTATCACTTTTTGTATTTGGATTGTAAAAAAAAAAAAAATGCCTGAAGCAAGTCAATTCATTGATTGTTTAAATATCAAAATGCTGACCTGTAAAACAATTGAAAAAAAATGTAATTTTTTTTTCTTCTTTCAGGAAAGACCCACACAATGCTTGGATCACCTGTTGATCCTGGGATAATTCCACGACTTATCCAGGATTTGTTTGATAGTTTTCCCTGTCAGACTGAGTATTCTTACAAAATGTCTTTCTCATATTTGGAAATCTACAATGAAAAGGTAAAATACTATAAATGCTTTCTTAAAAAAATCTCACATTAAACTCTTTTGTAAGGTGTTGACATTTTTTACTAAATATTTAATGGTTACTTGTACATTTGTCCTGTAAACAATATTTGACGGACTCATGTGAGTCCTTGTAAAAAAAAAAAAAAAAAAAAAAAAATTTTTTTAAAAAGTCACAAAAACATGGAATTTAAAAAAACAAGTATATATAAATATATTAAACGATATATTTATATATGACTGATCCCTTCCTGATAAGTAGTTCTGGGTAATTGTCTAGAAAGGAAAGAGGATAAAACTATTGCAGTGACTTGTCGAACTGAGTATTAAATACTACTATCATGACTGTCGAGTTAAGTGTTATGGTTTGCCAGACCCCACATCATAACAGCTGCCGTGTAGGGTGCGCTGCTCCTGTTATATGTGTCTAGATTATTGAAAAAATCCAAAGAAGCATCTGTAATTAATCGGTCTTTACCTGGCACTCTTGACTTCAGTGACGTTTTCTACAGATGTGGTGTGATTTTTCCTTGTCATTTCTATAAATATTATCATGACAATTGTTTATTTAGTAATTTGTGTTGATCTGGGAAGGTAATTATTATGGTAAGAGCCTGTTACCCTCCTTACTATCATGAATGGACTGTTCCATTTATAAGTAGTTTGGGGTGATTATCTAGAGAGCAAAAAAAGATACTACTGTTACAGTGATTTGTCTAGCTGAGTATAGAATTCTACTATCATGACTGACTCTCTCAAGTTTGGTGTTGTCTTGCCAGACCCCACATGACTACAGTTGGGGACAAGGATGATTCATTATTATTTCCATCTAATTATGGCTAAGTTAATGCCCAGGCTTTTCTAACTTAACTAAACTACCTTTCGAAAATATTTCATCCTAACGTAAGGTATTTGTAGATAAATATCAGTTAGCGTATGTATGTGCTTGAATGTAGATATCTAAGTGTATGTTAGCGTAGACAGCTATACGAGTAGATATTCTTAATGTGGACAAATGCATGGGTACTACATACATATATATCCAAATTCCACCCAAACATTGAGCTCTGATATATGGATGACTTTAATACCAATAATTCCAAATTAACTCTCTTTCATTTTACTAAAGTTACCTCTTGATTGTTTTTTCATGTTTTTGTTCATTTCCGTGAGTCCCCGTCAAATTAAATTTTGGCCGTGTGACCATTAGGATGTAGGTCAGCTCATTGGTCTACCCCTCACTCCCCCTACCCAGGCTCTCCTACCTACATAATATAATTCCAGTAATGGTGCCTTCTTCTCTACATACCTCCCAATAAGTCACGTATAACATCCTCTCTTTCTTTCTTTCTCCAACTAAACAGTATCCCACTACAAACTGATACCATAAATAGTTTGAAAAATCCTGTGAATTTTAAAATTAAAATTTGTAGGTGAAAATGGTCATTAACTAAAGGTATCTTAATTTCAATTGTAAAGAGTAATATATATATAAATAATAGGAAAGAACAGTCAGATTTATAATCCAGAGTTCTTTAGCATTTATTTTTATTTTTTAAAAAACAGTGCTTGATACAAAGTGGAGCATAAGGTTATGATTATTTTTTTAAAAATATGACTATCGTGACACAGAAATTACTATGTTTCAAAAACAAAACTTAAATCTTTAAAATTAGAATTCAGAGCTCAGTTCCATTCTCAAGCGATGCTAAGAATAACTTAGAAAAAATTGGATTTACTCTATTTTTAAGTTAAGTTGGTGGTGTTAAGAGAATTCTCATTTTTTTTATTGAGGGGGTGTTGGCTTTTTATGAATATAGAAAGCAAGTGTATCTTTGTGTGACAAATTTAAAGTCAGTTAAGTTTGATTTCTGTCAAGCTACACTGAATTTTTTCAAGCTGTCAAGTTATTACTAATATATATATATATATATATATATATATATATATATATATATATATATAATTTACTACTAATATTATATATATATATATATATATATAATTTACTACTAATATATATATATATATATATATATATAATTTTACTACTAATATTATATATATATATATATATATAATTAATTTACTAATATATATATATATATATATATATAATTTACTACTAATATTATATATATATATATATATATAATTTACTACTAATATATATATATATATATATATATATATATATATATATATATATATATATATATATATATATATATATATATATATATATATATATATAATTTACTACTAATATTATATATATATATATAATTTACTACTAATACTATATATATATATATATATATATAGTGGCCTGACGATTGCATATAGCATGAAACACTGTCACCTCTAAGTGTTGACTTCTATGTTCACTTTTATATTTACACACGCTCTATCTCTGATATTGAGCACTTTATCCCATAAATATAGCACACCTTAAGACTATATTTCTTCTATATATATATATATATATATATATAAAATTTACCACTAATACTTTTTTTATTAGTTTCCATTTTACTGTTGGCGTCTTATTTGTTAAATTTGTATAAGCCTAACTCACTACAGTGCCCAACTATCCACTGTTGATGCTGCCAGGCTCCATACGCCAATTGCTGCAATTGATAACATCTCAACATCAGCACCACCCAGCTACAAGCCTTCCTCACCAGCAACACTGTCACCTTGACATAGTGACTCCACAAACAAGTGACACCAACACCACAAGCATGCAAACCGCTTGTGCTACCACCATTTCATAGAACAGGCCTACCAGCTACACCAATCACTTGTCACCTTGACAACCAATGCACCCTACCATGAATTGACCCACTACTGTGACTTCAATCAACCAACACATGCAAACGACCATATGCTGTAACCTCAGTCAAACCAATACAAGAAATCTGTCAACTCCCAATGCTACCCTTATGAGTAATCGCTATCCTGATGATCAGTAACAGAAATCAATATTTCATCAATTTTCCAACAACACTAAGATATCTGTATATTAGACAATTACATGTTGTTCAAAAAACTAATCCTTGTTATTCTTTTCCTTTTGCAACCAAATGCTTATCATGACACTATTAAGGAGAAAGGACTATAAAAGAACACAAATTAAGAAGACAACGATTGAAATTGCATTTAAATTTTTGAAGCGCAAAGTTGACTGGGTAGCAAGAAGCTGAAAGAGAGTTCCACATGAGAGAAGTATGAGATAAGAAACAGCATAGAACTTTGTTGCATTTAGCTATTTCATCTGTAATATGATGAGACTATTTCCACCAATCAAATACTGTGCTTAAATTCAAAAAGTCTAGGTACTACAGAGGAAAGTTCATCAGAACAATTACCATGAAAGTATTTATAGAAAAGGCACAGAGAAGTTATGTTACAGCGGTGGGAAAGTGATTGAAGCTGAGATGCCAGGTCAGGACTAATAACATTGTAGAGTCTTCTTTGCATTTTATTAATAATCTCTAAATATATAGCAGGAGTACCAGTCCAGACATGGCAGCAATATTTCAAGCAAGCAAGGATGGATGGTAGACTTATAAATATGTAAAATAGATTCTAGCAAGAAAAATTTTCTGGCTTGACCCACTGAAAAAACTTTCCTAGCAGCAGACAAAACAGTTGATTCAGTATACTTATTACTTTTGTTTTTTTTTACATACAAATAATTTTTTTTTTTTTACTATTTTATAGATCCTGGATTTAATGTCGGACAATTCTGAAAACCTACCAATTCGAGAAAATGTCCATCAAAATATATTTGTCCCAAATCTTACAGAGACAGAAATTGGAAGTTTTGAAGATTTTTTTAAAGTGTTTGGATCAGCGTCTGACAATAGGTAAATAAAATATAAAAATTGGTCTTTTTTTTTTTTTTATTTAAGAATTAGCATTTTCCTACTTGTCACCATTATGTAAAACACTGTGACCAATTTGAAATGGGATTTCTATGGTAACAACTTTTCCTTAGATTTTTCATTTCTATTTTGAAAATGTCCACATAAAGTAACAAAATGTTGACTCTTAAAATATAAAAATGTTTTATGTCTAACTGGTTTCGTGATGTAAATTATTGTTGTCATAAATTAATAATTTGATGTTCAGACTATTGTGTATTAAGGCAGGTTGATTTTTCACTTTTTAAAAAAAAAATCAACATTGCACTTGCTGGGGTTGATGTGATAAGTACTGACACCAAAAATTAGATTCATAGCATTCATCAATTTTTGGTCATTTAGTTTTTAAAGGTAAACTGAAAAAATGTACAGAAATACCTAATTTCCATTGGTTTTTGATTACAAACTGACTTCAGAATTTTACTATTTCAAGAATAAATCCAAATAAAGTTGTTTTTGTATTAGGTACATTGAATGAAAAATATATTCAAACCAGAATTCTAATTATGAATCCCCACAAGCAAAATATGCAGTTTTTTTTTTTACTGTATTTGATAAGTAAAAACTTTTTAAAAAATTGTAAAAGATCAATGAATAAGTTTTATCAGATCATAATTAATAAAAACAAAAAATAGATAAAAGTGTATATAATACCATAATACTGCTGGGCACAAATTATAGGACAAAATGTTTTAAATTTGCATTGTTTATTGAAAATCACACTTAAACTACAGCACTGAATAACCTATTACATTATAATATATTTAAATTGTTCAGTATAATTTCCCTTTGAAGTAAATGAAGGTCTTATTTGATGGCACAATGATTTAGTAATAATGTGCTTGTGCCACACATCTTGTCCATATACAATTTGTAAAGCTTCGGTAAATTATAAATATTATAAGGCTTTCACTGATCACCAGAATAAAATTCCAGCACTATGATTTTGAACCTAAACATAATCTTTAAAATTTTTTATCAGATACATTGAAATTGAATGGAAACTATTTAAACCAAAATTCTAATTATGAATCATCACAAGCAAAATATAAAAATGTTTTATGTCCAACTGGTTTTCACTGGTATTGTCTAGCCGCCTTAATATACAAGCATACTCAGATACACGCGTCCAGCCCTTATTTATTTTATACACACATTTGTGTTTGTTCAACACCCACAGATCTCACCTCTGGTTTATACTGCAGGTATGCTGAGTGGACATTACACTTTCTGCGGAGAGAGTGCATTTTCCAGCATGATCAACAATCTGAACAAGGCTAGTACACTCAAATCCTCGGTCACAATGACTTGTGACTTTGTGTTAGCATGGGATCTCCGTGACACCCAAATTGTTCTTTCTACCCAATTTTCACTCACAAAGCTTAGGTCAACCAATGGTATGGTTCCAGGCATTTTCCAAAGGTGTCACACACTGGGATAACCCCCTTGAGGGTGATAACATCAAGAAGTCACTTCCCTGACAAATCAGCCCTGGTAACATTCTGGTTTAATGGTCGGTATGTCAATGTTCTGACCAGTCGACCACATACACATGATTAATAAATAATCAAAAGTACCCACAATTAGTCAATTATGTGCCATGCGTGATACACACTTAGGCGATCATGTATCTTTCAATATATGACTGACTATATATATGTATGTATGTGTGTGTGATTAATATAAAATTTGTCACTTAGCTGAATGATGTTATATTCAGCACCCCGACTCCATAATTTCATAGGCAAGCCTTTGTGTAATTGCTCAGTCTGCTCATCAGGAAGTATCAGAATTGCCTGCCAATTTTCTCATTTTTGTTATTTTTCATACACAACTTAGGAACGGTATCAATCTAATTCCTTCTCTCTTGCTATGGATTAAATAGCAGGGCTTCTATCAGGATAAATCATTGTTATACTAAAAAAAAAAAATGTTAATGCAATATTCACTCACCAAAAAAAAAAAAAGATAAAGTCAAATTATTTTTACAATCCAAAATCTGTTCCAACTTTAAATAACCAAAAAAGGGTTGATAAACTGTAAAAAACATATCAAAACATTATCAACTCAAATGTACCTACTAAAAATAGTGTTTATAGTAATAAGAAATAGGTCTGATTGCCTTAATATTTTAATTTGAAGACTGCAATTATGCAGTGTCCTCATCTTATTGACCCTCAAGCTCCCCTCCCCTGTTTATGTACAAGAATTGAATTGATGGACATCAAGAAGGATGCTCATCTGAACATTAACCATTTGAAAAGAATCAAATTTTCTTCTTTTAACTTTCACTTTGACTCACCATTTTGCTTACTGTCCTACATAAGCAACACTTTATTAAATAAAGAACTTGCTTTCTTTACAAATAGAACAACAGCCACAACCTATTCGAGTGCAAACTCCAGCAGCAGTCACAGTGTTCTTTTACTGAAGGTCGTCAAAACTGATTTACATACCTTAAAACAATGCCATCTTAGCAAAGTCTTTCTGGTTGATCTGGCTGGCCCTGAAGACAATCAGCTGACAGGAAATGAAGGCTCCAGGTAAGTCATTTCTCTATCTTTTCTAAAGTTTTTGTCGGGTACCTGTCACTTTACAATTTCAGATCTAAACTGTTTGTCATTCAAAAGACATTTATGAGAAATGTATATTCAGTTTTAATAAAGATGTCAAGTAAATGTCTTCAAAGGGCTGCACAATTAGACTTCTATTCTTTTCCAGTTACCCAGGGTTGTTGCCAGACATAAAGGGAAATTAACCTTTGTGCCACAGATGTCCATTTCAATTTTATTCAAATTGCATGTATGTATGTACACATCTATATAATATATATATATATATATATATATATATATATATATATATATATATATATATATATATATATATATATATATATATGATATTAGTGGTAAATTTATATATATATATATATATATAAAATACAAGTAATAAATCTGTTGGTATATAATCCAAGTGGATCCTATTAATATAAAATATTAAAACTCATCCACAAAAAGAGCTCAATGTATTTATTATAACAGAGCATACAAATTGCATAATAGAGAAATCCCAAATTACCATTTGACTGTGGTCTACGATCGAGAACGGACATGTATACACCTAAATTGCTACTGAATAACAATTACTGAGAACATTTTTAGCAAGGAACTTGTTAGTAATGTCCAGTAATTAGTTAATTAGCAACTATATATAATATTAAGAAGTATTTTACAATTATTGATTTATTTCCATAAATGTAAAAAAAGAACAAAAATAACATTAAATAACTAAATGCACAAAAATCACTTTATTCAACATAAATTAGACATTTTTAGATGATATTGCTAAATAATGAATTAATTTGTTTATACCAATTGATTTCAGGAAATATAATTAAATAATAAAATCAGAAAGCAATTTCAGCATTTTCTAAAATCATGTATCAAAAAAATCTGAAAATACTTCACAAAAAATGTGAATTTCACAAACAATTTTGATAATTTATTGTGAATTTACTTACATGTACAATTTGTTTCACAAAAGATGAAGAAAGTACTTATTTTGCTATAATACAATAATAGATATTACCAGTATATATAGTTTTAAAAATTAAAATCAATTTACATTAGCAAGAACACAAAATTAATTAACAGAATAATTTAGAGTTAACCAATTAAATATTTATAAAAAGAGGGAAATTGAAAATAAAAATAACTGGTATCCCTGTGATATTTTTTTAAATTACCACAATCTATTTCTTTCAAAAATGTTTATATACTTGAAAATAAAAAACAATATTAAATATTTTCTTTTCTGTGGGACAATCTTTTCTTGTAACATAGCCTGCTATATACAAAAGTGACATTTTAATATCTTTAAGAATCCAAGTTTCAAGATCTGGTAAGTTATCAAATGTTTGGCATCAAATTATCAAATTTCATCCAGCAAATGTCCACATTTTGAGCAATTATGACCTGGATCAAAGTTGTATTCTCTGACATCAACATTTAATTTAAAAAATAGTTCAAATTTTTCAATAACATTTTGAACTTTTATAAAATATGTACCTCCAGAAATTTGTCTTAATTTTCCAAATAGTTTGTGGTAAATTCACCAAGCATAACAAGATAAAATCCACTTCTTAGCAAATATCTACGAACATCAATTAAGCCATTGCATGTATATTCAATGACTGACTTAGTATCTCTTGTTAATAATTTAATTCTTTTTCTTTGATTTCTTCCCATTCTTTTTGTCATTTTTCCAGATTTTTTTTTTTTTTTTTTTTTTTTAAGCGTTTCACCCCAAGCAAGGCGGGAAGCCACTAGGCAGCAAGGGGTTACAGAAAATTTGAAGTAAGATCAGATAGGAGTGATAGAAGAAAGGATGAGGAGAAGAGTAGTGGATAGATCAAGGCAACTGGAGATGTCGATTGACATTACATTTGAATAGCTGGAAATTATAGCTCTCAGAGAAACTAGAATAGGGAAGGGAGTTCCACAGGCAAGAGGTGTGAAGCTATTGGAGTAGAAGAGACGGCTACATTTAGGAGTTTTGACAGTGAAGGGGTGAGAGCGGGATGCCAGCCTCGTAGGGCGCTTGAACTCCTGAAGTCTAGGAACCAGTGAATGCAGCTCCTCGGAGCAATTGCCATGAAAGTATTTGTAAAACAGACAGAGAGAGTCGACGGCGCATCTGTGAGAAAGTGTCTGTAGACGAGATGCCAGATCAGGGCCAATTATATTGCATATCCGCCTCTGGAGCCTATCAAGAACCCCGAGGTAAACAGAAGGAGCTCCAGACAATATATGGCAGCAATACTCCATGCAAGGGAGAATTGTTGATTTGTAAATCTGGAGGATCAATTCCGGGGAGAAAAATTTCCTGGTGCGGCACAGGGATTAGAAAGAAATAACAAATGTTCATCATCTAAATCTGATATCACCTTTTTCAGTGGATTATTTTTCTTTGTGTTGCCATATATTTCTTTGACACAGACAATTTTCTAAAATTTTAAAATTTTTTCAATGAAATAAGGTGTTTCTGCAGTATCCTCCCCATTTAATAATTTGCATATTTTAATGGCAGCTACAGTTTGATTACAAAAATCTTTTAAACAATAGGAAACATTTCGTTGCTCAACAGGTTTTGGGTAAACTGCTACATCAGTTAGTTTCAGCAGCTTAACAAATTAAGTTTTTTTCATACTTAAAAAGATCTTTTACAATTTCCCATTTTGCTCTCATCTTTTTACCTTCAGAATAAACCAATAATTCAGAAGTAGGTTCAGTAATCCGTTTATTCCTAATATTTTTAAAAAGGTTGACATAATCAAAAAGTAAGTAGAAGACATTTTTAATTATCCAAGGCTCTTATAAACAATGTCAAATATTTTTGGGGAAAAAGATTGGTGGGTCCTGTTATTGTCACATACAACTGCAATTACTTGACTGATTGCATCAACAATATATGATTGTTTTTTTCATATTTCTTCTACTTTTACAACAGGGGTCATTTTAATAAAATTTTTGGTCCACCATTTAAACATTTTACCATGATACCCAATACTGTTTTTTGCTAAACCCTCAAAATTTTCAGCCAAATTAAATAAGTTTCCTCCATGATATTGTAGAGCAACCTCTTCTTTTGATTTTCAAAGATTGAATTTGAATGAAATATCACCAAGAAAATTAAAGTCATCTAATTTTTAAACTTCTGATGTCAAATCTGGTCATGTTCTGACAGTGGTCATGGTGATGTCTGTTATATAATGACTGAGTTGTAACAAAATATTCAAATTTCCAGATTAAAATATCAGAATCTTAATGTTTTGTTCCAATGCTTTGTGTTGACATAAAATTAATATGCTCTTTAAATATCTCATTTTGACAGAGAAGTGTGTGTGTGTGTGTGTGTGTGTGTGTGTGTGTGTGTGTGTATATAAAAATATATATATATATAAAAAGAAAGCACAGTAAGATATTTTTACTTTTACAAAATAGTGCTTAATGTAAATTTACAGAGCATTAATATTATAAATTGATTTATTTAAAAAATAGAAGCTAAAAGCTACAAATTTAATTTTGTAATTAAATTAAAGACATTAGTTCCATTTATTTATATATATATATATATATATATATATATATATATAAGCATGGTAACATTCAAATCTCAAGTTTTGAAAAATTTTAATTAAAATCATTCGAATATTTCCAGTAAAAAAAAAAAGAAAAGGAATCATCAGATTTGATGAACAACTGATTGTTTGACTTATATCATGTAACTGCTGAGACAAAATCCTGTTGATCAACATTCTGAAACAATTTTTCATAAGTGAGGATTTTCTCTTTTTCTAGAAACTGTGCCAACTCATCATTTTGCACAGAAGCAGAAGTTTGTTAGTTTTGTTTGATCAAATATTGCTGGTGGATTTCTTGGTTGTACTTTTCTTGTAATAACCACTGTTTCATAATCAGATGAAAAATGCCTTTCACAAAAAAGAGTTTGGTTTGTTAGCAGTGTTGTCTCAAAGTATTGCCCTTAACCTTGATTCTCAATCATTCTGATCTGTGGGAAAATAAAATACACAAACCTTGTTTTGATAATCACAACCACCTGTCATACAGCACCTTTTCACCATTTTGAGAAAGATTTTGGGATAGTGAAATTAAAAAATATTAACTAAACTATTATTTTGTAAAAATGACATGATGCTTTTAAAAAGTGTATGAACTTTATATTCTAAAGTTTGGAGAGTTTAGGATTCAGAATTAAGAATTTAAAGTTTGTATAAATGTGGGAATTTGTCATCTTATGTTACTTTCCATCATCTTTAAGGAATTATGAGGCTCTAAAGGATTTTCAAACTGTTTCACTGGTTAGGGTCTGTTTTATGTTGAAGTTACATATAGTTGACAAGATAATCTTATATATAAAGTACTGTGTGTGTGTGTGTGGCCAAGGAGTTGCTTGGCCACACACACACACACACACACTGAGTTAGGTGCAGGGAACAATTTTTGTTGAGCTCAGATTCAGGGTTGCCAGATTATGCAAGATTAAAAATATATATTAATATATTATACTAGCCATTATTGTTGCTTTCAGGGTTCAAGGGAGTAACTCTTATTTTCCTTTTATACCCAAAATTGCAGTGAACGTTTTTATTATAAACTAGCTTTAAAGCCACCCTATTGGGTGGCATTTA